AAAAAGCCTATTAAAATTTTAAAACTGTTCAAGAACCACAAATGCCCAAACAGTAGCCATAAACACTATATGCATCAAAAAATGAAAGAGCCTGCTCTAGAAAAATAGAGCAGGCTCTAATTCAGCATAGAGCCGGCTCTACCACCACCTTGGAGCCGGCTCTAAACAGGTGGGAGCCGGCTCTTGGTATTCCAGAGCCGGCTCTCTCTCCCCCTGCGAGCTTCCCCTCCATTTCAGCTTCGTTTTGACCTCTGTTCCAATTCCGGCCAGTTGCAATCTTTCTGTTGGGTTTTAAAACTAATTTAAGAGTCATATTTAAGCCTAATAGCATCCCCAAGATTTTATTACAATAATTTGAAACCAATTACAGAGATTAACCGAAGCCATTAAATTGGTATGCTTGAAGAACAACACTGAAAATTAATTTAAGAAAATTTCAGTTCTCTTCCAAACCCTCTGTTCCCCTTTACCACTGAACCTAAAGATCTTATATCAATCCCAATAACATCCCCATGGTTCATTTACAGAGATTAAAAGCAATTCCAAAGACTAAAGTTACAACAGAGCAACATGCTTAAAGAACAGAAAACTGAAACGAGATATGCATGAACTGTAACAGATTGATTTTTCAACATAACAGATCATTCACATGACATATATTAAACATATATCTTCCAGTTATTGATTGGTTAAACCCTAGAGATTATCTAGGTGCACAGAACACGAGCCAAAGGGAAGGAGAAAGAGAAGAACTTGCCTGTGATTTCAGTTATGAAATCTGGGCGTCGTCTTTAAGTTTTTTGGCAATTACTGCAACACTGTCTAGCCTTCTATAGCTCCGTCTCTAAACCTTACTCAACCTCCTTGATCCTCTCTGTAAAATTCCCCTCCAGCCTTGCTCTGTTTCTCTCACAACTGCTCTCTATTTCTCCCTCCGTATCTTGGGTACGTGACAATGCTTTTGTATTTTAAAACCCTAAATCCATACACTGTTCTATTTATATATAGAGATGTAAAATAAACCCTATTACCTGTACGTGTAGAGACAGAGCCCTAATTATAATCCCCGTTGGCCCATAACAAAACCTACGTCGTAAAACAGTGTCGGCTATATACGAACTCTATTATACAATTAACACTATAACCTAATGCAATAAATAAAACCTTAAACTTAATCCAATTAAAATAACCCACGAAATTGAAATAATTAAACAAAAATAATTAACTAAAACAACCAACCAAACTAACACAAAACAAATAACAAATAATTAAACAAACAATCAAAAGACAACAATTAAAATTATTAAATAAAACAAACAAAACAAAACAATTAACAAATAATTCAAATTCTAATTAACACAATTAAACAAATAATTACATAAAATGCAACCAATAATAAAATAAATTCCAGGAATATCATTTAAAAATTAAGGGTATTACAAAAAATGACACAGCTTAAAGAAACATGGATATATCATTCATTTCCAATGTTTGTTTCATTACAAAATATATATATATATATATATATATATATATATATTTATTTATTTATTACTCGATCCTACTTCCTCTTCGGATCAAACGGGGTAGATTCAAAAGCATCTACCATAGCTGGACTTACAGGTGGAGGATTTGATGAGCCAGTTGCAAGAGTAGAGACATTTGGAGCTGAAGGGACCTCAGGATGCGCTTTCACCATCTCGGCAAAAAGAACTTCAGCTTCCTGAGCTTTTAGACCCTCATCATAAGGGAACGACACTCCCATTTGGGCATCAAAAGTCTCGGGATCTGTTGTCTTTTCCCCTGAACCCTGATTGAAGCCGAACCTGAATGCCTTGGCGCTAGACAAGCGCACCAAACTGGTGTAACTACCTTGCATCTGTATCCCTGCAATGATGCAGGTGTTAAGGGCATCATTCAAACGCTAGACTTCAGCCTCCAGCGACTCAACTTTGGCATCAGAGGCAGCCAAACGCTTCTTGTAAACATCCCGAGCCTCGTATGCAATTTGTGCATTGGCAATGGCATGGGATGCCTTTTTCTCTGAATTACTGAGGTCCTTCTCCAGCTTCTTAAGGGAAAGAGACTGGGCCTCAGCAGTAGCACAGAGGGCCATAGTATGATACAAGCCCGGCATTATGAGATAATAACAATGTAAGAAAGTGTGTAAGGCAATTATGACAATGGAAATGAAAGACGGGGCAAACCTCTACGGCTTGAACGAGGGCAGATGAGAGTAGCTGTTCCAGCCCCATTCTGCCGATAATTTCTTCATCCTTGGGGAGCCACATTCCCCGAGCAACGGCCAGTGCTGCAGATGGGTCAGTGATCATAGAATCACCAACATGGAGGATGCACTTGTCAGCCCTCGAGAAGGCAGGAGTCCAAGGTGCTCCAGCCTCGGCAAGGACGTAAGCGTTGACCTCATCCTCAGGGTTAATCTTTTCGATTTTCTTCCCTTTGCTTTTTGGGTTGGAAGCACCCTTGGTTTTCGCGGTTGAAGAGGAGTTCAGCCTTGTCCTTTTGTTCAAAGGGACTTCGTCAATCTCCTTTTCCTGCTCATTTGTGCGCAGTATAGTCAACGGAGCATTCTCTGCAGTTTTCCTCTTCAGGGCTTCAGCCCTCTGTTTTTCTTCCTCAGTCATGGGGAAGCTATCAAAAGATGGAAGTGAGAGGTCCATGAGATCAGCGGTTACAGCTCTGGAAGCAACTGCTTTAAGACTTGTAGAAGTGAGTAAGCTCTCGATCGAGGGAGGGTTGCTCCAGACTCGTTTTTCCAGGAAGGAAAGCCTCTTCTTAGCAGCCAAAGAAGGAAATGTTGCTGAAAAAACACCAAGAAACTCGTAAATATATCGAAATAGTAAGACTCGACATGGGAAACAGCCCGAGCATTCTTCATGAAGAAAAAAGGGATGTTCTATACCTAATTTTCTGAACTTGCGAGGGATTGGGAGTTTGCTCGATTGGGGCACGACCCATTTCCCTTTAACAACTATCATCCTCTCTTTCCACTTCTTCTCAGAAGTAGGAAGGTCTGTGCATATCCTTTGGTGCAAGGGGGAAGTGAAAAAGAAACAACAAGGTTCGGTTCCATGCTTAGAAATAGAATAAGTAATCAGCAAGTCAGCCAGAGTCAGGTCAAGACTCTCCTGCCACCGGCGAATGAGGAGTGCTGAGATTACTTAAAGGAAGTTAGGGTTTACTTGCAGGGGTGCAATCCCCAATTTGTTGAAGGCTAAATGATAGAAGGGATGAAGGGGGAACCTAAGAGCGTTGAGATGCCCAACAGAGAGGAGCAACTCGTCTTCTCCAACGCCCTCGCCGGCGCAAAAATCAGCGCCTCTGGGGTACTCTGCGATTTCTATCCCCTCGGGAATCTCAAATTCTTCCATTACGGATTCAATGGAGAACGGAATGCGTCGAATAGATAGAATTGTAGTCCTCTCTTCCTTGGTGAGGATATTGTCTGACCCGGAAGTGGATGTTTCAGCCTGGATCGGAGAAACACTTGGCTGATTAGCCGAGTCACTTACAGGTTTAGGAAAGTTCGAAACCCTAAGTGGGGGAACCCTAATGAGATTAGGGGAAGACGAGGGAGTGGACTCATAATCTATGATATCTATACGTTCAGGAGTAGTCGAAGTACTCATAATGCAAGATCGAAGAGAAAAAGATGGAGAACTAACCTGATAAGACGACGGAGTGAAGAATGCAAGAAACGTAGTGAGAGCAAAAGTAACCCTTATAGAATCTCTTAAGGCAGAATGACAATAGGCAATCTTCGAAATGTCTTTTGGTAAAAAAGACAACCGTGCAACTTTAATTCCCTTTTTAATAGGAACCGCAATCCAATTAAAAAGGGAATTGGGGGCAAAGTGTTGAGGGAAAAATCTCCCTCCAATGAGAGCAATACACGTTATCATAAATATAACTTTATCTTCAATAAAGGTCAAAACCCATTTCGTCAGAAGCCCAAGTTGAATTGGTCATTAGCCCAAAACTACCGCTATCTAACTACGGGCTTTACTAAAGCTCGAATTAAGACACCAGCAATCATGTGTACCAATTTAGATGCGGCCCAAATCCATTTAAAGAAGGAACCGGTCCTATAAGGAAAATGATTTATCAAAGGAATAAGTACTGTGTAAGGAAAATCCGGAAAGAGAAGAATTATAAAGAGGAAATAATTTTATTTGTAAAGAAATTGATATATGGAAAGAATTAGAGGACAAGTAACGCAAGTCCTACCATAATTCTTCTAACTTTTGTATATAAATAGAGGCCCAGACCTCCAATAAAAGGATCCAAGCAATTCTACGCTTCTCTAGACACTGTTCTTATTTATTTTTATTGTTCTTGAGTATGTTGTATTATTTTTCTCAATTATTATTGATTGAGTAGAATTTTGCACTTACAATTACCCTTTATGACATTTAGGGCATATCCATATCTAATGGGTGGTTAATCCGTTTTTTAGTTGGTATTCCTCCACCCACCTTCTTCGATTTGGCAACTCTCTCTCTCTCTCTACAATTCTGCTACCAGACCACCACCATTTTAAAAAAATCAGAACTCTAATTCAATAAAAAAATATCAAAATCCTAATTTCCCTATTCCAACACAAACTTTATGGAAGAAACAGTCTAAATTAGCAACCAGAGGAAGGAAAAAAAAAGAAGAAGGTAAGATTCTAACTCTAGTCGTCATCTTCATCATTCTTGTTTACTTTGTCTTGAATTTTTCTACTACTAATTTCGCAACAAAATTACCAAACTATTAACAAAGATGGACACGTGACATGTAAAAAATTCAGCGGAAAGGCTCTGGACAAAAATGGTCATTCCCACTAAATAAGTATATGGTTTAAATTTACCCTAATTAATAACCCACCACAGCCGCTTGTATTGACTCATTTTGACTTTTCACGACCGAAGCCGTTTATAAAAGAAGAGAAACAAACAGTCCAAGTCACCTCACCAAAAAGGTTAATCCACTTCTTAACCTCACCAAAAAGGTTAATCCACTTCTTAATCTCCCAATATTTGAACTCTGTAATGAACCTATTCCGTCTTTTGTCTTCAGTCTCTCTCTAAAAACAAATGCCGGAAAGCATCCACTTCGATCTTTTATATATTCTCGCCTATAGTTCACATTCTATCATACATAAATACATACGCATCACGCATGTCTGACGATTTGCCAGCGATGGCTGGCGTGGACTTGTTGATCTTGGCCTTCTTCGCGGTAGTAGTAGTGTCGCCGTCGGTAGTGTATTGCGGTGGCTTTCCGTCGAGTCTTCTGACCTTGGAGAGGGTTTTTCCGGCGAACCAGAGGGTCGAGCTCGAGGTTCTCAGAGCTCGGGACCGAGCTCGGCACGCCCGAATGTTGCAAGGGATTGTCGGCGGCGTCGTGAATTTCCCTGTCGATGGTTCACCCGATCCCTACCTTGTTGGGTAAGCCTATCAATCAAACCCCACTAGGTCATCTTTTTCTGAGCTGGTAAATTGAAACTTTTGGGTCTTTGTTCATCAATGCCGTCATCTTTTATAGTCTTTACAAATGCTATGTACTTATTTTATCTGTGAGATTGAAAGTTTGCAAGTTATGGGCTTAAAATTTCTATTGAGATTGATGTTCTTTTATTTATTTTCATTTGAAATAAGTCCCTAAATATTTGTGCTATGTTGGTCTCATTTTATCAAAATCCATACGGGTCCATTTTTTAATTAAATTCTTGGGTTCTTGTTTCTTCTTAATTCTTTTTTTTTTTCTTTCCAACATAACCATTTGGGGTGACATTGATGGGTGTATTGTGATATCATATTGAATACATGGTTATTGACTGTATTCTTTATATTTGGGGCTTTTGGATATATGTAGGCTTTATTATACAAAAGTGAAATTAGGCTCTCCACCAAGAGAATTCAATGTGCAGATCGATACTGGAAGTGACATTTTGTGGGTTACTTGCGGTTCCTGTAATGATTGCCCCCAATCAAGTGGACTCGGAGTAACTTTCTGCTAACTCATTCTTCTTGTTGTTGTCCCTTTTGATCTATTGAGTTTGTGGAATGAAGATGAAACGTAAAATTCTTTATTTACTGTACTGTTTTGTGTTTGCAGATTGAGCTCAAATTCTTTGACACTGCCAGTTCGTCAACTGCTTCTCTGGTTTCATGCTCAGACCCAATATGTTCTTCTGCAGTGCGAACTGCGGCTGCTGAATGCTCTGCTCAAAGTAATCAATGCGGTTACTCGTTTCAATATGGAGATGGCAGTGGGACATCCGGTTTTTATATATCTGATTTGCTGTATTTTGACACTATTATGGGAGTGTCTCTTATAAACAATTCTTCTGCTTCTATTGTTTTTGGGTGAGCTGTTATGACCTTCTTTAAACAGTTTGTGCGGTGTGCGATTTTAACATCAAATTGAAGACAATAAAGGAGAATCGATGGGCAGTAACATGAACAAGAACCCAACTATATTAATAAATCTAGGAGTTCCTCGCTAGCAATAGTTAATATAGTTGAATCACTCATTCTCATCAAGATTTAGGAAATAACACAAGACTTAATAATGACTATTTCATGCTAGCACAATCTTATACTCACATTAAACAGTAAAAGGTTGTACAAACCTTCTTAAGTTATTTCTGGAAGGTTTTGCTAACTGGGCGAAAGAAGGATGAGCGTCAGAGCTTTGTCATCACCCTCATCCTCATCCTTGCCTTAATACCATATGGGCGGGGTGGGCCAGAGTTTTATATGGCTAGAAAAAGAAGAAGAAGAAGCTATCTTTACAAAATATGTTCTATATTTGTGATTGCTCTGCAACATATGAGGAATTGCATCTTTATTGAATACTACACCTTCCTCTTCTCTTCATTTTGTTATTGTTGCTTTTGTCTCATGTCAACGTTGAATCTGATTCTATTGGTTGAAGCTTATAGTCTTCGATGGTGGTGTTTGAAACAGGTGTAGCACCTATCAGTCTGGGGACTTGACTAAAACAGATAGAGCAATTGATGGGATTTTTGGTTTTGGTCAACAGGCTCTATCTGTTATATCACAATTATCATTGCAAGGGATTACTCCTAAAGCGTTCTCTCATTGCCTGAAAGGAGAGGGCAATGGTGGGGGTATACTAGTTCTTGGTGAGATTTTGGATCCAAGCATTGTTTATAGTCCTCTTATCCCGTCACAGTACGTATTCTTTGTATTGTGGGTATTTCTTTACTATTTTTTTGCCCTTTTCATGGGAGATCATGCTTATATTTTGCTGTGAGAAATTCAAGAAAACTACAATCTCATTTTTTGATTCAATATAAATACAATACTTCTACTTATTTTAGTCATGCAGTTACCTTTTCAGTTTAAATCTGTTGCATTTTGATTCCTATTGTCTCTTTTATTAAGGATCCAGTTGGCCATTGTCATTTCTTTTAATGTGTCTAGCTTATTTATATGTATGTATAAATTATATTAATGCTGCAATGATTAGTATAGTGCAATGATTAATGCTGCAATGATTATTGGTCAAACAGCTGTTGGCTGTGTTTTTTAACTTGAGTTGATGGAAATTCAGTTTATGCTCTTTGTTTAATCCAGTCTATTGAAACTATAATCAATAGAAAAGCTTCAATTGATTGACCAATAAAACACATTAAAGTTTGTTAAGGTATGGTAGAATGAGCACTGACAAACTGTTCCATAATCTACACACCCTGCCCCAAGTCAGGAAAAGAATAAAGAGTTCCTCACTTGGTGCTGTAAAGTTGCAAAATTTGTAGGAAAGAGTCTACCTCCTTGCATTTACACTCTCCTAGTGTCTCACTTTCACAGGAGAGCAAAGTTCTCTCCAATAGCTGGTTTTTATACGTTTTGTGGGTATAATCAAGTAAAAGACATTTCTTTGTAATGTTTTTAGATTTGTAATCAACTAAAAGACGTTTCTTTGCAATCGTGAACTGTCCAAATTCCTCCTGCTATGAACGCTCTCCTTTAAGATTTGTAAAGAATTAGTTTGCATTTAGTTCTTTGTTTTTCTATGCTTCTTTAGAAATCATTAGTAGGAAGAGTAACTTAGCAAAAGAGAAAGAAGGAAAAAAAGGAAGTCATTGCGAGGTGGTTTATTTTGTTTCTTGTAAATCAACAGCTCCTCCTTTACTTATCGTGAAACTTAATTTTGCTGCACTAAGCTTCTGGTTTTTGTTTCATTTTTTCTTTTGCACAATGATGCTTGAATTCATAAATCTTCTCTGAATGAAAAAGACCAAAATCCAGTAATTTCCCATTACTCTTTTGTATTAGTATGCATAGAATAGGGTGGTTAATATCAAAATATACATAATTTTTTTACTGTAAGTTCGATCGATTATAATTGGTCTCAAATCTTTCAGGGCTCATTATAACTTGAATCTGCAGAGCATTGCAGTTAATGGGCAGTTGTTACCAATTGATTCAGCAGTTTTTGCAACATCAAGGAACCGAGGAACCATCATTGATTCTGGAACAACTTTGACATACCTTGTAGAAGAAGCTTATGATCATTTTGTCACTGCTGTATGTTTGCTTTTACTCTTGTGTTTTCTTCAAATTTCACGATGGTGACAAATTAAGGGATAATGGTGGCAAGTACCAATTAAACTGGATTGAACTTGGCAGCATAACTAAAGACCTGAAAATAAAAATAGGACCTTCAATATTTCACTCAAGGTAGATACACGACAGTATAAGGACCTGAAAACACGAGCAGGTTCCATATTTCACTTTGGAAACTTGATTGCTACAGTAAGATGCGTCTTGGTCTTGGAAAGGACATGTGGTCAATGAATACCTTTTGTATATGTTAGAGGGCTCTCTAAATAGGCCATTTTGAGAGTGCCTCCGACTTTATTAAATTCATTCCTTGGTACATATGAGGATTTTATATATGGAAAGCCTTTACTAAGGTGTGCTCAGTAACCTGACTACTCGAACAGTCTAGATATTGGTTCCTTTGCTAAGTAAACAACGACCTGGCTATCCAAACAGTCTGTCTTAACATATTGATCCACTTAGAGTTTATTATGCATAAAGATGACAAGTTTACTCATCTGTAACGTTTTGAAGTGTAGAACAAGCCGCTTTGTTGCAATAATTTTAAAATTTTGTCACATGTCTATATGCTTATTTGCCTTATTGACTGTGCAGGTAACTGCTGCTGTTTCTCAATCTGCCACTCCAATCCTATCAAAAGGAGACCAGTGTTATTTAGTCTCCAGCAGGTTCATCCCATAAACGATTTTTAGATGTTTCTTTGAAATTTATTTTTGATATTAAGAATGGTTAGATTACACAATTGTTGTCAACACCTGAATTAGATCCTTGTATGTTATGTACAGCATAACCGATATATTTCCTCCAATTGCCTTTAACTTTGCTGGTGGTGCATCCATGATCTTAAAACCAGGAGATTACCTTGTACATTTTGGTTTTGCTGCTGTTAGTTCTTCAACTTTCTTCTTTATCAAGTTCCTTTCCTTACGTTTCAATTTCACTTGTTAATAGTAGAATGTATCTAGCTATTTTAAGTACTTGAGCATAAATGGGCTTTTCTCTCACAGGATGGTGCTACAATGTGGTGCATTGGCTTTCAGAAATATCAGGATATAACAATTCTAGGAGGTTGGTTCCTGGACTCTGAAATTATTTCAGTGGACAACATCTGCTGTGAAAGTGGTTATTGCATAATGCTTGCTCCATCCCCCTATTTTGTCATGCTATATCAGCGGTAATAGTGGGTCTGTTAAGGTTTTTTAGTAACTCAATGTTTTCACACACGTATCATACTGTCATACAGAATGACGCACCCTGTCCCAAGTATGACATGTTTTTATATTCTTTGTCATATTTGATTGGAGATGCAACAAATTGCTTTCGGTAATCGTGGAACTGACTCTAATAGTTTTCTATAATTCACCGCTGCCAGGCTTTGTTTATGGGTAAAAAAGCCAAAGTAAGTGATTTTAGCCCTTATAAAAAGAAAACTCAGGCTATAGTTGATAAGTGATTTAATGTGGTTAGATCCCCGGCGGAGAGGTCTACAGTTGGCCCGTGGACTCAGGCTATGATGCACTTTTCTGATTTTATTGATGGCCACTAGCTTATTGATCTCCCTCTTGAGGGAGCTTCTTTCACTTGGTCCAATGGAAGGGAAGTTCCAACTTTCTCTCGCATTGATAGATTTTTGATTTCAGGTGAATGGGAGGAGAAATTCCCGGATGTTGTTCAAGCAGTTTTGGCTAGGGTGACGTTGGATCACATTCCCTTGGTTTTGGACTGTGGAGGTTTGAGATCTCGCAGTACTCCTTTCAGATTTGAGAACATGTAGCGTCGTGCGGATAACTTCCAGGAATTTGTCCATTCTTGGTGGGAGGAGAATCTGGTGGTGGGTACATCGAGCCATATTCTTGCGGGAAAGCTTCGAATCCTGAAAACAAATCTTAAACGGTGGAATAAGGAGGTGTTTGGGAGCTTGGTGTGGAGGAAGAATAAGGCTTTGGTTGATTTTGCGGAGATTGATAGATTGGAAGGGGAGGGTGCTTTTACGGAATTTCAACGCAGTAGAAGAGCAGCTTGCCAAGCAGAATGTGTGGAGATTGCTCTTTTGGAGGAAATCTCGTGGCGTCAGAAATCTCGGGCACTATGGCTCAAAGAGGGGGATCGAAATACGAAGTTTTTTCACAGAACTGCTAATGCTAATAGGAGGAGTAATCATATTGGGCGAATGTGTGTGGATGCTGCAGTTTTGTTTTCGGAGGAAAAGGTGCGAAGTGCTATTGTCTCTTTCTATCAAAGACTTTATTCTGAGCCTCTTCGTTGGAGACCTCGTCTAGATGGTCTTCACTTCGATTCTATTTCTGCCTTGGAGAGAGATGGGCTGGAAAATCCTTTTTCGGAGGAGGAAGTGCTGAAGGCTTTAAAGAGTTGCAATGGTGATAAGGCTCCAGGTCCTGATGGTTTCACGATGAGATTTTTGTTGGAAAGCTGGGAGGTGGTCCGGTACGAGATTATGGGCACTTTTCATGAGTTCCATTCCACGGGGCAATTTGAGAAATCGCTTAACGCATCTTTTATTGCCCTTATTCCTAAAAAGGGTGGTGCTTCTAATATCAAGGATTTTAGACCCATTAGTCTGATTGGGTGCATTTACAAGATCATTGCAAACGTCCTTGCCTTTAGATTGAGGGAGGTCCTGGATGGAGTTATCTTTGAGTCTCAGAATGCTTTCGTTGGGGGTAGACAGATCCTGGATTCTGCTCTTATTGCTAGCGAATGTGTGGATTTTAGACTTCGTAGTGGGACTCCTGGTGTTCTGTGTAAGCTGGATATTGAGAAAGCCTATGATCATGTCTGCTGAAATTTCCTGTTCTATCTGTTGGAGAGGATGGGTTTTGGTGAGAGATGGAGGAAGTGGATTGTTTCTTGTGTTTCCACTGTCAGGTTTTCGGTGTTGGTGAATGGCTCTCCTTCGGGGTTCTTTGGCAGTTCTCGTGGGTTGAGGTAGGGGGATCCTCTCTCCCCTTTTCTTTTTATTATTGTTATGGAGGCCCTTAGCAGGCTGATGAGAAGGGCGGTGGATTTGGGTTTTATTAGGGGTTTCAAGATTGGCCCTGAATCAGTTAGCAGTTGGAGATCTCTCATTTACTTTTTGCGGATGACACTATTTTTTTTTGTGAGGCTGATATATCCCAGTTGAGGTATTTGAGATGTGTTTTGGTTTGTTTCCAGGTTGTTTCTGGTTTGAAAGTAAACGTGGGAAAGAGTGTGATTGTTCCTGTGGGGGAGGCTCAGGAGGTGGACACTCTGGCTGCTGTTCTAGGGTGTGGGACGCAACGCTTTCCCATCTCGTACTTGGGTTTGCCGTTGGGGGACTCGGCTAGGAGGGTGGGAAGTTGGAACCTGGTGATCGAGCGGGTCGAGAGAAGATTAGCGGGTTGGAAAAAACAATATCTGTCAAAGAGCGGTAAAGTTACGTTAGTGAAGAGCACTTTGTCAAGCCTTCTAACGTACTTTCTTTCGCTTTTTCGTATTCCAGCCTCTATTGTTGGAAGACTAGAAATGCGCCAACGGAATTTCCTTTGGGGGGGTCGCGGAGAAGAGTTCAAGTATCATCTTGTCAAATGGGATCAGGTTTGCAGGCCTATTCGGTTGGGAGGGCTTGGAATTAGGAGATTGGCCCCTTTCAATTGTGCTCTTCTTGGTAAGTGGCTTTGGAGATTTGGTAAGGAAAGACACAGATTATGGAGAAGGGTTATCTCATGTCGCTTTGGGGAGGAGAGAGGAGGGTGGTCAGTTAGACCAGTCAGGTCTGTTAGCGGAGTGGGGGTGTGGAGGGCCATTGGTAAGGGGTGGGATGCCTTTTCCAAACATATTAGATTCAGAGTTCGGGATGGAAGAAATGTCCGGTTTTGGGAGGATCCATGGTCTGATGATAGGCCTTTGGCCCTTTTGTTTCCCAGGCTTTTCAGGATTGCTGTTGACAAACATGCTATGGTTGCTGACTACTATCGCCTTGATAGTGGAAGGTTGTCTTGGGATGTGCGTTTCCGGCGAGCTTTTCAGGATTGGGAGCTGGATGATGTCACTGGGTTTTTGGCTCTCCTTTACGGACAGGAGGTGGAGGGGTCTGGGGCAGATTCCTTGATTTGGGTGCCTTCTTCTCAGAGGATGTTCCAGGTCCGGTCCCTTTTTGTGTGCCTTTCTGGTTTTCATGGTACCTCATTCCCATGGAAGATGGTGTGGATGTCTAAGGCGCCTCTTAGGGTGGCCTTTTTTGTGTGGACTGCAGCTTGGAGTAAGATTTTGACTTTGGACAATTTGAGGAAGCGAAGGCATATCATTGTTAATAGGTGTTGTCTTTGCAAGATTAATGGGGAGTCGGTGGATCATCTTTTGTTGCATTGTCCTGTGGCTCATGATTGTTGGAGTTTGATGTTGGCCTGTTTGGTAATCATTGGGTCATGCCTCGGACCTCTCGGGAGTTGTTAGATATGTGGAGGGGCCAATGGGTGGGGGCTCAGGCCAGAGTTTTTTGGAGGGTGACCCTTTTTTGTATTTGGTGGAGCCTTTGGAGAGAGCGTAATGGAAGATCTTTTGAGGGGAAGGAATCCTCCATTGGGGTGTTAAAATTTTCTATCATTTGTAATTTGTTTTGTTGGGGTCAGGGGAGAGACTACTCCTCTCTTGAGGATATTGTTGATTTTATGAGCTCTTTGAGTTCATAGGCTCCGTTTTGTCTTTGTATAGTTTGGGACGCGTTCCCCTTTTGAACGCTTTTAATACAATTTACTTATCAAAAAAAAAAAAAAAAAAAAAAAAAAAAAAAAAGGAAAACTGAAGAAGAAAAAACTGCAAAATCTGATAAGGGTCTGTCTGCAGTCAAGAGAGAAATCAATTTCAGGAGACTTTGCAATTTGCTGACTAAATGATGCTTTACAACTCTGAATCATGAGGCTCATTTCTTGTGCTCTTTGTTCTAGTCTGGACACTAAAACATGCATATCATGCTTAAGCCAAGGATAACTCATTGAACTTGTATGATTAAATTTAATGCATTAAAGGTTTATAGACGTTGATTTTCTTCTTCAATTAGTTATTTTCTTAGTTGTGCTTTCTTTTGACTTGGTAGAAGTACTGGTTTAAAACATGTAAAGGGATAGGCTATCAACCTCAAATTTTGCTTGAAAATGTTGATGGGCTTTCATAAATTTTTATTCATTTATTTTTAATTTTATGTTCTACACTTTTGCCTCCAAGCTTACGAGTTATCAGGCAACCAGAGGTTCCCGTGCTTTTTTTCACACATTCACCTTTTAGGACATTGAGATTAGTAAACTACATGATGTCTTCTTTTTGCAGATCTTGTTCTTAAAGATAAGATCTTTGTTTATGATTTAGCTCGTCAACGGATTGGATGGGCCGACTATGATTGTAAGTTTTAATCTATTGCATGCAAATCATACTCTTTTTTCCCCAATGATGAAGCTCTCTTAGCACATCCTCATATATATATATTTTTTTATCTTCTGCCCAGGTTCATTAACTGTAAATGTTTCCATAGCTTCTAGTAAGGATGAATTCGTCAGTCCAGGACAGCTGAGTGTGAGCAGCTCATCAAGAAATTTGCTCTTTGAGTTGATTCCAATGAGCACTAATGCTCTGGCTATGCCAATATTAGTGTTCATCTGGTTCCCATTTTTGATTTTTTGTAACTTCCTCGGGTTCGAAATCTCAGTTTTCATTTGATGTGCGTTGTCTTTGCCGATTCTTATTTATACCAATCGGCAGGCCATTGTTGTATGCCTATATATATATATATACACACACTCACACACATACATTTCTTACATTATAATATACACTGAATAGGCTCCTTTCTTTCATTCCTGCTCTGACTAACGATTTGGCCTTCTCCTCATAAAGAGTAATCCATCTTGAGCATTTATAGCATTCAAATTATCTCCACACTTTTCAAATGGAAGTCGTAGAACTAAACAGTGGTCAGTGGACCCAGAGTGAGACTGTTCCTAGCTGTTACTTTTGAGTTAGCATGAGTTGTAGAAATAAGGCAGTATTTTTTAAATCTGGTTTGTTATATTGCAAGTCATTCATGGTTGTAAACTGTTTTCTGTTCCTGAGCCAAAAAATGCAGTTGTAACTTTTCCCCCGCTTGCACCAAATCCAAACTTATTTCAGGTGTTACTATATCTGAAGAGAAATAATATGTGAAATGTTTTCCAATGTAAAATACGTGCCCAAAATGGATCGTGGCTGGTGGTCTTGGTCTTGGTCTTGGTCTTGGTAGGTTTGAGGATCTTATTCCTCTACTATGTTTAAATTCCTGACACACAGCTTCTCAATTCCATGGTGATGCATATGCTTTTATTTGGATGAGCTTATGCAGTCGCTAAGGCTTAGCCCGAGCTTGGCTTGAGTTGTGTGAAAAGGTTGTCTTGAAGATGTATATATTAGGAACAAAATTAGGTTTAATTATCTCTATTAAGAAAGCAGAGACATCATATCAGGACACAGTTTAGTTATGGTATCCTCTGCCCATGGCTATCGAGCAGTTGGAACCATATGGTTTGTGGTTAGTCAATTGTTTTTTGGCGTATTTTGGATACTTTTAGAGGGTCAAAATCGATTTGTGGTTAACTAATAGTGTTTCGGGGGTATTTCGGACACTTTAAGAGGGGTCAAAATCGACTTAAAAGTCCGTTCTGTTTCTTCAGCCCCATCATGTTCTTCCCATCTATTACCCTGCCACGCTACTGAGCATTTATAGGAATGCGTGTGTACTTGACACATTTTGTAAACCCGCCAGGACAAAATCATTTCTTGGAAACATATTCGGCAATGCGGGGTGGGTGTTACTAAGACAATGTCATTTTCTTTTCAGAGTTTTCTGTAATTAGTTTGACTATTGATTAAAATGGAAGTTTCTTTTACATCGAAATATTAATATCTGGATTCGATTTGATTTTTAATGAATGAAACAAAATATGAAACTATTGTGGGCCACTTGACTCTAAAATTTCTTTTCCTAATCTATTTTTTCATTCCATTATTACACCTTCCAAAATCTTGTACTATTTCTTAAATATTTAGGTTAACTTGAAATTTTAAAATAAATGACATTTATTTGTTAATACAATTTACTTTCCAATAAACAAAATGTAGAAATCCACATATTTTATTTCTTTTAATAAAAGGATTTAATTACTTCTAATAGAAAAAAATAATATATTTTCATGGATGTTAGCTATTATTAATCTCTCAAGTCTCGCCCTTGTCCCCTGACTCCCCCATTTTATAAATCCTTTTTGCAACCTAATAATTAATTATGCTATGTTCCAAGCATCAACAACATCCTAATTGATATATATATATATATATTACTAGCATCAACTCGGCATTCTGAATATAAAATTTTAAAAAAAAATTAATAAAAATTTTGAACTAAATTTTTTCAAATTTTAAATCTAAACACACTAAAAAAACGTAACACGTTAATTTTATATTTAGAAATGCTAATAAGAAAAATGAAATATATGTACATAAAAGACATTAACATGGCCGGGGCATGTTTGGACGTACTATGCCTTTATAAATAGATTACTCCGTAAAACTTATCATCAATAATCACTTTAGTATGTATGAAGTTGAAGTATGTGTGTCGGATTATTCTGTATTGGTAACATTAATAATGTGTGAGGTTTTGTTTATATATTAAGAAAAAAATTAAATAGGCAAATAAGTAGAATAGGACACGTAAAGCGTTGATGTCCGTGGATTAGGGCGCCCAGGATGGTGAACGTCTGGCTGTGCAATAAAAGCCGATCCATTTATATATATATATATATGTATAATAAGGCCTTGTGAGTTTTGAAGTGGTCTTTTAACCTCATGTGTCCAATTGTTTTGTTACCCCTTTTTACCCGCTTCTCTCTCTAACACTCTCTTTCTCTCTCTAGGCTGCCCTCTTCTCTTACAATTTTCAATAAAGCCCACGCTCCAAGAAAGAGAGTGTGTCCACAACACCCGACCCGTTTCTGTACCATAATTTTGTAGCCCCCTGTTTCGCATCTCATTAACCAAAAAACAAAAAATTCTGCCATAAAAAAAAAAAAACTTTTAAAGAATATGAGCCCAATGGTATTATCACATTTCTTTTTCAATTAAAAAGGATGAGCGTTCAAGTTTTACTCGGGATACATGAATAATGGATATGCAAGTTTGCTTTAACTTTTAAAAAAATAAAAATTAATATTGCTGTTTTATTTCTTATAGGACCAAAGATTTGGTTATAAAAAAATGGTACCACTATTTTTTTTAAATTTTTTTTATAAAGTGATATATTTTTTTAATTTATCAAAATTTGACATTTTGCTTGTTATACCATATGTACAATGTGAATTTTGTAGCTTTTTTTTAATGGGAAGAATTGATTATTCTCATGCATGACTTAGAGTATATTGACTAATTTACGTTTGGATGAAAAGAATTTTGAAAAAAATAATAAAAAAATAGAAAAACAAAATTTCACATTTGATTTAAAAGAAAAATTAAGAAAATAATATTTCATATTTGACTAATAAATCTTGCATTAGACGTGGTTCTTGGAAGAAAATAATAATAATAATAAAAAAAAAAAAAGAAAAAGAAAGAGGAAAAAAAAAAAAAAGAAGAAGAGGAGATCAAAACATTGAAATTTGCGGGTTATTTAAACCAAAAAATAGTAAAATTTGCGGGTACTGTGGAAAGTGTTTCTGACGCGCGCGTGTGAGCGTGCAAATTGTCTTCCTCTCTCTGGCATAACTCCCGCCTCCATGCAAATCCGCACAAACGCCTCTTCTCTCTCTCTACACTATTCAATCCATTCTCCTCTAGTAATCCCTATCTACAAATTTTTCCATTCCTCTCTCTCTCCTTAATTACTCTCTTTTCAATTCCTCCCCAGAAAGGAAAAAGTAAAAATCTGTCCGTTTAGGAACGCATTTGTTTGGTGTAATTTCTCAACAAAGGAGGAAACGAAACTTTTCTCTCTGTGTTTTGAAGTAGAGAATCAAATACCCCAAACGAAAACGCCAATTGGTTTTTCATCTCTCTAAACACTTTCTCTCTCTACAAGTATACATTGTGTAAGCATTTCGGTGGTGCTGCATCGTCATCGTTTTGGTAATGGAGGTTCCTTCGACGGTCCCCGCCGTTCCGGCGTCGCTGTACGTCGGGGACCTCCACCACGACGTAACCGATGGCCAGCTCTTCGACGCATTCTCCGAGTTCAAGAGCCTTGCTTCCGTGCGCATCTGCCGTGACTCGTCGACCGGTCGCTCCCTCTGTTATGGCTACGTCAACTTCATCTCTCCTGAAGACGGTACAGTAATCGCAATTCTCGTTCTTTTCGATTGATTACTTTAATTTATCTAGGAATTCGTCGTTAAGTGTTTTGATTTATCAAGAACTAATGGTAGGTTCTTTAATTACAATTGAAGACTGAATAAATTTGTTTAGGGGATGATTAAATTTCGTTGTCTAGGATTATTATTGTTTAATTGGTTTCTTTCTTTCTTTGGGTGAATCGGTGTACTCTGTTATGGATTATATTGTGCGAGGATAAGGGTTTTGATGTTTTGAGTAATTTTATTTTATCTTTATATGCACATATATGTACTTTTATACATTTTTATATGTGCATATATATATATATTTATATTTATATAATTCCAAATCCATTCCATAAAATGATTCAAATTAATGAACTTGCTGATAAATTTGTTGTTTATGGGATGGTTAGATTTTGATGTTTAGTGTGATTTATTGGTTATTGCTTGGTTTCTTTGGGTGGTTTCTGTTATTGGTTTTATGGTATGTTGTGTGATGAAAGGATTTTGATTGTTGAGAGTGAAGAAAACGAACTTTTATTTTTAAAATGTTTGGTTTCTATTAATCTATTCATTCTTTTTTATCTTTTCTCTTTGTAATTTGAGTAGGGATTCATGCTATTGACGTGGAATTTTAGTTTCTGTAATTTTTATTTTTATTTTTATTTGAGTGTATTCATGCTATTGGGGTGTAATTTTACTTTTTGTAATCGTGCTTTCTCTTTTTCTTTTGATTTGAGTAGCGATTCATGCAATTGAGGCCAAGAATCACACTATTCTGAATGGAAAAGTGATAAGGGTTACGTGGTCACATCGTGATCCTGATTCGAGGAAGAGTGGAATTGGAAATGTGTTTGTCAAGGTATATCTGCTCTCTCTCTCTAATCAAACAATAGTTTAGGTCAGCTTTAGTATTTTTCTCGATTTTGGTTTTCAATGTAAAATTGATTTTGGGTAATTGCAGAATATAAGTGAATCAATTGATAATGGGAAGCTTCAAGAAATGTTTCAGAAATATGGGAACATCTTATCTTGCAAAATTGTCATGTCCGAGGATGGGAAGAGCAAAGGATATGGTTTTGTCCAGTTTGAGTCTGAGGAATCTGCAACTGATGCCATTGAGAAGCTTAATGGCTCAACTGCTGAAGGCAAGCAGATGTAGGTGCAGCTTTCTTTTCGCCGTTCCACTCTCATTTATCACACTTTGTATGAATATTCATGTTCATGGTTATGCCTTATCGACCATTTTCTAATAATTTATGGCATAGGTATGTTGGTAAGTTTGTGAAAAAAAATGATCGGGTTTTACCAAGTCCCGATGCTAAATTTACAAATCTATACATGAAGAATTTGGATCCAGATGTCTCAGAAGAACTTCTTAGGGGGAAGTTCTCTGAGTTTGGGAAAGTTCTTAGCTTGATTGTATCAAAGGACGAGAATGGGGCCTCAAAAGGATTTGGATTTGTGAACTTTGATAGCCCAGATGATGCCAGAAGGGCAATGGAAGCTATGAATGAATCACAGCTTGGTAGGTTATATATTCTTAATGACGTTAATTTGTTGAACATGCCACAGCTTCCCAATTTTAAACCCTTTCTTCCACACTGTGGCGTGTGAGTAGGCTCCAAGGTTCTGTACGTAGCTAGGGCACAGAAGAAAGCAGAGCGTGAGCAGATTTTGCGTCATCAGTTTGAGGAGAAACGGAAGGAGCAAATTTTGAAATACCAGGTGGTCCTGTTGTCCATTTTCTCCTCAAGAGTTATTTACTTGTATTTGTATTTTCTTTTTGTAACTATTTGATTTGATTAAAATTTTAGGGTTCAAACATTTATGTCAAGAATATTGATGATGCTGTCACTGATGATGAGCTACGAGAACACTTCAGTCAGTGTGGCACAATCACTTCTGCGAAACTTATGCTAGATGACAAAGGAGTGAGTAAGGGGTTTGGATTTGTTTGCTTTTCTACACCCGAGGAGGCCAATGAAGCTGTGAACACTTTTCATGGTGAGTTCATAAGCTTATGTTTGTGATTCAGATGCCATGGAATAATGTTCAGAAGCAGTCAGTCTGCAAATCTTATGTTTGCGAATTAGTGTTTCACTAAATAATTGCACACTTAGCACATGCAATACCTTTTTATGCTCACAGAAAAATGATGGTTCCTTATGCAACGCTCACTTAAGTGACTCTTTAAGGATTTCAAATAAATGGGATATTTCAAATTGTTTTGATCTCATTTGGGTCTTAGTGCAGAGAGTCAGAATAGAATGAAGAATTCTTTCAGTTATCAAGTTTTACTTGATTGACATTCGGGGAATTTTTATAAACGAATATTTTTACACTAGGGATTGGGGACTTCCATAGATATGGAAAAGTTTACAATCGGATGAATAAAAAACAGAATGCTCTCTCCCTCACTATCGTATAGTTAGGTTCAGTTATGTCTTGTAAAAAACCATTCTTCAATTTCTGTACCTTTTTTTAGTGCTTGTTAATATTTGTTTTGTAAATGAGGGCACACATGTTTGAATCACTTATATATTGAATGGTGGCTTGGCTTGGAAATTAGTTATTGTGCTTGCTCATGTTCATACATACAAACCAAGATACTGGCATACGAGATTTGCTGCATCTAGAAATGAGAATTGACAATGATATTACTTAAGTATTATTTTCAGAATGTTCTGAAAGGTTTATGTATTGTGACACTTTGCTTTTGTCTTTCAATAATTTTAAGAAACAGCCTTTCTTATGGGTTAGAAGCAGTTATTCCTCTTGTGACTAACAATTATTGTCCATGAATTTTTTGCAGGATACATGTTTCACCAAAAGCCGCTATATGTGGCTATTGCTCAAAGGAAAGAGGACAGGCAAGCCCAGTTACAGCTTCAGTATGCGCAGCTAATGGCAGGACTTGCGGCTTCTTCTGCTGTTATTCCTGGGGGATATCATCCTCTTTATTACACAGCTCCTCCTGGGGTTGTTTCACAAATACCTCCACGACCAGGGCTTATGTATCAGCCTCTGGGGTTGAGGCCAGTATGGAGGGCTAATGGTTTTGCACCTCCAACCCGACCGGGTTTTCAACAGTCTCCGCTTCCCATGGTTAGTACCTAGTATCTGTTATGGCAATTAACTACTCTCAATAAAACATTTGCCCAATTATTTAGGTTTCTCGGGTCTTCTATACTTTTTGATCTATGTCCATGTCCTCCATAACCAATGGATTGACTGGGAATGGTAGAGAAGTATTTTGGCAATGGCAAATTTTCCGGTGTTCAATATAGACTCACATTGATATACTCCTAAAATCTTCTTCAGATTTCTAATGCTCCAAGACAACATAGGCAAAGCAGAGGCCGGATGAATGGACATATACTTTCACAGGGTGCTGGTCGCACTGTTTCATATGTGCCGCATTTGCAACAGCACCCTCAATCAAAAGATTCAAGCAATCCACAGGTGTGCCCTCTCTTCCTTCCTTCTCGTTGGCATAATGCCCTGACGTTTATTGTGTTTGTTATGCAATACGTACCTTACATTTTGATGCACTAGTTACTTTGTCTAGTGGCCATTAAATATATACTGCATGTGAATGACTTCTTGTTGTACTTGTTCCCTGTTCCCAAATGTTCTTGTGATGGTGGTTTCATGCATTATTGGAGCCATACTCTAAGATGTGATTGTGGATAAGAGGGACTTGTTGTATTAAGGTTTCTCATGACATAATGTACCATTGTCAATGCCTATATTTGATGTATTTATAGCAAATTGGTGATTTTAGAAATTGGGCTGAAATAGGCATACTTCCTTCAATCTTGATGTGAGATGGTAAACTGCTCCATTAAATAATGGCATACTGCCCTGGAAAACACTTCATTTTCTGGAAAAAAAAGTAAAGTAAAATAAAAAAACAAATGATGAAGAATTGTAATTACATTGGATTCTTTGTTTCTTCAGTCAATAGTTGTTGACCAATGGCCACCCTCTTCACTAATATAATTGATCTAAGCTAGATTTATCTTCAATTTTATCAAACAAAGCCATGAAGAATACCTTGTTTAGAAGAATCGGCCTATGCCCTTCCTAATTGGGTAATAGAACTTGCCCGTGCTCTTCCTAACATGCAGTTTATTTAGATATCTCTCTTATTACCTACCATTGACAGCCTGTCTGCATTCCTTCTTTTATAATTTTCTGTGAATGATGAGTGAGGGCGACATCGTCTAGCTCGATTCTATAGCTTGCTTTTCCACCACTTTAAAGACCTGAAATGCCTATGTTAAAGGGGCATCACCCCACGAAAGATTCCAAAAATTGACCCTTTGTTTTCCATTTTATTTTATTTTTTCTAATTTTTTGCTGCCTGCTTCTTGAATCAACAACAATGTTATTGTCACCACTTGTTTATATTCCATTCCAGTGCATCATCATGGCCATCTTTTGTTTTTTAACTGAAGCAGTGGGCACGCCCAAAGAACATTTCATTCAAACTCGTAATTACTATTTTCTAAAGCTAATTAACCTAATTTCCTTCCTTTGGAATGAAACCTTTTTTCCTTTCAGTATCATGAGATTCGTGAATTATTTATCCATTTTTGCAGAAATTTTGCCCCAGCAGCTCAACATTCTTTAGAATATCTTGTAGGATCATTGAAATGTGTTTTAATGCATCCTTTGGATTGGTAACCTGCTTGTAACTTAGTTCTCACATCTGAAATTGAGTGCTTATCTGGTTACAGTGACAAATGATTTTGCTATCTGAGTTCCTGACAAAAATATAATGATTGCAGTGTGTTATGTGGTTTGGTCAACATAATAACCATTTAGATTAAATCATCCATCTTTGGATTTTTATGGATGGAAATGTGCATGAATGAATTACTTTGGTGCAGCTATGAAAGTCAATTGAACTATACGTGTATTAAGCATGATAAATGAAAGTATATAATACAGTTAGACTTACCACCGATATGGTTCACATATAATATCTGAGCAATGGTTTGCAGCGGGCTGGGCAGGCTAGGAATGCGACACACGGGCGTCCACGTGACATAAATAAAGGATCTGGAGCCTCATTGGCTGCTTCCAGTTCTTTTGGATCAGGTTCCGAGGGATCAGAGATGTTGAGCAGCAAGCTTGCTGCTGCTTCCCCCGAGCAGCAGAAACAGATACTAGGGGAGCGCCTCTACCCCCTCGTCCAGAATCACAAGGTAACACTAGTTTTCTGGTGCTCCAGGGTATTTTATTTTTTATTTTTTATTTTTTGGAGTGAATACAATATGACCCCTTTAGGTACACATTTATCTTAAATTTGTATATGGGATAATGTTGGGTTTCCTGGTCATGCTTACGTTCATTAGTACCAATTTTGGTGTGAAAATAATTTGTAAAACAATATAGTCACACTATACTCTTAGGAGTTAGAGCCGTAGAGGCGCTTCTTGATCAGAGATGTTTAGCCGTTAGTGTTTACTAGTTCCAAGCACACCATGAGATGCCCTTTAGAACTCATCATAATCTAAAACTCTGCATAATTTGCTTTCAGCCTGATCTTGCTGCAAAGATAACCGGAATGCTTCTGGAGATGGACAACTCAGAACTGCTTCTGTTGTTGGAGTCACCGGAGTCACTAGCTGGCAAGGTAGAAGAAGCTGTTCAGGTACTCAAGCTTTCCAATGCCAAAGTATCAGGTCAAGATGCACTTCATTCTAGTTACCTATCGGCCGAGGTTGCAGTAAACTGAAAAAGGAAGCTGTCCAAGAATATTTAATTTTTTTTCCAAAGACAAGAGGGTCACTCCACCGATCTGGTTTCAAGTGAGCATGATTTTTGATAGATACCATCAGCGAACCATCTGAGATTCTCTGGCTTTTAAAATTTATGCTTTTTAGTCTTTATTTATGGTATAGAATATTTCTAACTTTAAACATCTGGTATTTCCTTGCTATTTATGGATCTGACTTTAGAACTTGAGGTTTTGTCAATTTCTGAACATTAGTTGAAAATTTCTGAACATCTTCAAGTTAAGCTCGAAATCGAACACACAAAAAGGAAAGAATTGACGTGTTAAGCTTCAAATCCAACAAGCACAGTCATCTGGGGATCTGGGAGGTAAGTCCCTTCGTATAGCTGCAAATTGCAGGTTCAGTTTATGAACTGCTTCTTATGCTGAGGTCCCTCGACCCAGGAAGCTTTTTATCGGCACTGCTGCAGACTATGTTGTGATAATGGTTCACTATTCACTATAAAAATTGGTTTTCATATTTCTGGTATATGTGGTGTAAATATGGACAAAAATATTTCTCTCTCTCTCTATATATATATATGTATGTATATAAATGGCAGTCCAGTCCTCCAACCTTACTTTATGTTTGAGGTTCTCGGCCCAGCAACTGCTGGTTTAGGTTCCTTGAGTTAAGTTTTAGTTTACCCCAATGATGCATCAACTTTGACATGGAAAATGAGTTAAGTTGATTAGTTTACCCCAATGATGCATCAACTTTGACCTGGAAAATGAATAAAGGAAAGGTGAAAAAAATAAACAGTCGAATAGTTACTTTTACTTGCTTTTTTAATTACGAATTCAGGCACCAAATAAAATAAACGTGTAAGAAATTTATCCAAGAGATAAATGAAGGAATTCTCGAATATCCAGATACGTGAAGGGATTTTTATTATTGCAACAAATACGTAAATATATATATATATATATAATTGTTACTGTAATGTAACGTAATTGTTATACATAGTTGAAAATTGAAATGGCGGGCCAAGAAATTTACGTGCTTGGCGGAGATGCTAGAGTAGGACTCGTCATGCTTATGTAATCATGCAAGGGAGAATTCGTCATTAGACACCATTCCTGGACCATCAATGGGAAAGAAAGACACGATGTCCCCACAAAATGGGTGTTTAGGAAGCAATAAAAACAACAATGATAACATTCACCGGAATGAAATGTGTTTTTCTTTTTGACTAATCCCATTCCTGAAAAGTCACTATTTTACTCTTAATTTTACATCAGGGAGATTGTGACACTTCTTATATTCATCGGTTCTTCCTTTCGCATCAAGGAGATTGTGACACTTGCTATTTTCGTTGGCTAAGAGAAAGGGGCACGATGGAATATTTATTTATATATAATATACACTCACAAACACGTTAGAAAAGACGAAAGGACATACCACTCAAGGTAATAACTTTGATTAAGTTTTGTGTTATATGGAGTCATGATTTTAAAAAATGGAATCGGTATCACTCAAGTCAAAAACTTTGATTAGGTTTTGTGTTGTATGGAATTTGAAGTCATGTTTTTAAGAAGTGGAGTCTGGTGCGGCGTACTGCATTGAACGACTCACAAACATTACACGTGTCTCATAAGTGTGATGCTTGTGAGCTGTCCAATATGATGCGCACCATCGGATTCTTTGGAAAGGAAAAAAATGTGTTCTACATTACACACGTCTCAATGCTTGTGAGTTGTCTGATATGATAAACATCAAAGGATTCTTTGGAAAGGAGAAAATGTGATCTAATTCAAAAAACAATATTAATTTTAATTTTTAGTGTAAGCACTATTGAAGACTTGGTATTTTCATTGGTTAAGAGAAAGGGTCACGATGGAATATTTATTTATATACAATATACTCACGAACAGGTTGGAAAAGGCGGGGAGGACGTACTACTTAAGTCAAAAAGTTTGATTAGATTTTGTGTCATATGGAGTCATAATTTTAAGAAGTGGAGTCCGGTACCACTCAAGTCAAAAACTTTGATTAGGTTTTGTGTCGTATGGAGTCATGATTTTAAGAAGTGGAGTCCGGTGCGGCGTATTGTACCCGAGACCCACAAACATTACAAGTGTCTCATAAGTGTGATACTTGTGAATTGTTCAATATGATACACTGTAAAGGGTTCTTTGAAAAGGAGAAAATGTGTTCTAATTCAAGAAACAATATTAATTTTGAGCGTAAGTACTACTGAAGACTTGATTTCAAACAACAATATGGAAAAATAAAGCATAACAATTGTAATTAATACATAGAACTCACAAAACATAAAGCAAAAAAAACTCAATATGCAACATCTTGAAAAGTTGCATCCGGTATGATCTCCCTTAATCAAAGGGTGTTGGGATTATTGATGACAAAAATACAAAAAGGAGGAAAAAGGCAACAGGATAAACTTGATTTTCTGCTAAAAGATCTGAAATATGATCTAATACATACAACCTAATTAATATATATATATATATCTCATCCAATGAATTATAGCAGAACCTCAATTTTGTATTTCAATACTTCCCAACTATTTAATTTTCTTCCCTAATCACGTACTTTAAATAAATCATTAAGCAGTGAAAATTTAGGAAATGAACGACAATTTAGATAATAGATCAACAATCCATTTAGTGCATGCAGCCTGAGTAGATATAGAGAATCTGCTGAAATATACATCTGACATTGATCTTGGAACTAGTTTTTCGCGTATGAACGACTATTTGTGTGTTTGTGTGTGTGTGTGTGAAGAGAGAGAGATAAAGAGAGATCTTTTTATAAAGGAGAAAGATATGATAACAACCAAGTAATGCTAACAAGTGAATTTTTTTTATACCTGACAACTTTGTATGCAAATGCTTTCCCCATTCTCAAAAGCTGGTTTGCTTTTTCTCCACTGTAAGCAATCCATGATAAGTCCAATCCCATCAGATTCCAATCACCCCATACTTGGAAAATCATGTCTTTTGTATCATTCATACTTTCTGCACAAAGCAAGTATCTGATCCCTACCTTTTCTTATTAATTTATTTCTTATCATCTTTCCACTCCCACTCAAATTCATCCTTAGAATCAACTTTAGCTTCTGTGGGCAATACAAAATTAGGGCCCTTTATTAGCATCATTTCAACTACCTTCACATCTACACTTCTTTATCTTTATAACATGAATATTCAAAGGTTATACAAATCCATATGTCAACCTTGCAAGCCACACTAAAAAGTATCATAATACCTTCATATAATTTCAACACTCACCTCCTCAGAAGCCTTTTCTTGATCTACTACTATTTCCATTATATGTTGGAGTTGTTGAACAACATCCCTCATGCTAGGTCTCTCCTCTTTCTTCTCCTTTAGACAGGCAAGTGCAAGGTCCGAGAAGTGCTTCACACTTCCCATTATCTTCATGGAAGGCTCCTCGCCAACCAACCTTTGGTCCACAACTTCCATGATTGCACCATTGGTAGCCCGTTGACTCACATAAATGGCCAGGTTCACATCGTCTTGTTCCCGTGAGAAGTCAATTGCCCTCTGGGAAGTGAGAAGCTCGAGCAACACAACCCCATAACTGTAAACATCACTCTTATCTGTTAGTTGGTAGTTGCGGTAGTACTCAGGGTCCAAGTATCCTAATGTTCCCTGAGCACAGGTGGACACATGACTCAACCCCGGGCAAGCCAATCTGGACAGCCCAAAATCTGCAACTTTCGCATTGAAGCCATCATCCAGGAGTATGTTAGTTGACTTGACATCTCTATGATAGATGGGTGTGTAAGCAGCTGAGTGCAGATAAGCCAATGCTTCAGCAGTTTGTAGAGCAATTTTTAGCCTTGTTTTCCAGTCCAGAAAGGTAGAGCACCTGCCATGTAGATGGTCATGGAGGGCACCATTTGATATGTACTCGTAGATCATCAGTGGTTGCTCAGCTTCCACACAACAACCCAAGAGCCTGACAAGATTCTTGTGATTTACTTGAGAAAGTATCCGAACTTCGTTGAGCACTTGTTGGGTGCTTTTGATGTTGCCCACTTTAGCTGACTTAACGGCCACAACAGTCCTGTCTTGAAGTTCACCTCTATAGACTTCTCCAAAGCCACCACTCCCTAATATCCTGTCTTTAGAAAAGCCATTTGTTGCTTTCTTCACTTCTTTCAGGCTAAACATCCTTGCAGATTTCCCGCCATTGCTTGATTTTAACATGTCTTCTCTTTCCTTGGCAAGCTTCACCTGGTTAGATAATTTGATGGACTTTCTCACTGTAAATGCAGCCATTATTACAGCAAGAAAGACAACTGAGACAACCCCAATTGAGACCTTTAAAGTGAGGTCAGACTTTGAGTTCTTCTTTTTCAAGCAAATTCCACGGTCATGATCCCAGTAGTAGCCTCTATTGCAAAGGCAACGAAAGAGGCCATTTTTACTGGCAGGTGAACACCTGGAAGCCCCAGAGCAATCAAGTTGAGTTTTACATACCGGTTCAAGTGAAGGAGCCCATTGAATTTCTAACCCCTCTTCCCACTGGTTTGTGGGGTTTTCTGGATCCAAGTCAAGGATGCTTCTGAATGCTCTGCAACCTGAACTATGCAGCCGTATCTTGTATGCTGACGGCATGCCACCAGCAACAAAGGTGCAACAGGGGTCAAGACCACTCGCACACTGAAGTGCGCGTTTGGTGTCCACATGTCCTGAGCTCTCAAGGTAACGGTGGCAAAGGCTGGAAGTAGTGCAGTTGAGAGGAGAGACCAAGAGACGAGGCGAACAGTTGAAGAGGAAGATTGTGTTTGATGAAGTGATGTTAAAGGGGAGTGTCTGGTTCAACCAGATTCCCTCACTTACAGGCATGTCTTGAGTAACACATGTACCAGGAAGCCAAGGTGATGGTTGCACCACCATGCGTCGAGAGGAAGCCATGATCCTGAGGACGAGATAAGAACTTCCATTTAGGGCATCAAAGTATAGTTTCTGAGAGTGGGGATCACAACGAAGAGAATAGTCTAGATTGCCACAATTGGGGTTTGTGCTTAGAGGATATGGGATTTCTGTGGAGCCACAGTTTGGGCAGGTCCTTTGTGAAGAACAGTAATTAAAAATGAAAAGAAGAAAGAAAAGGGAGCTAGAAAGAAGTGGTGGTTTTACACTTGATTTGGTTGCAGTCATTTTGCAAGAGCAAGGGGAAAGAGTTGAGAAGATTATGGTACAAAGAAGAACGAAGATGGGATAAATAAAGGCTAGCAAAACAGAATAAAGTGGGTGAAATGAGATATGAGTTAGCTGCAGGAATCTATGTTAAAAACAATGGAACTTTTGGTGTTTATTGGACAGTTGGATTCCTCTCATATGATGGTGTCGATAGGGAGAAATTTTCACCATGTTCGCTATATAAGGAAGTGTCTAACTAGAAAGACTTGCACTGCTAACTAATGGGTTCTCTGATTTTCATTTCCTTTCATTTGGTTGAGCGAAGACTTGCTTAAAATACGCATGAATTATAAAAAAGTGGAAATAAAAGAAGGAATTCAACAGTTCATTGGCACTCGCACAACAAAGAATTTCATATTCTTTTCCTCTTGTCAAAAGGAGCACGAATCACTAAGAAATGAAAAAAAAAAAAATTAACAAAGATAAAAGAAAGAATTCCACAGTTCATTACCACTTACACTATAAAAAAAACTTCATATTTAGTTATCTTATAAGCATAAATGCGGATAATTTAAAACAACTAATATATTCATCTGCTGAAGGCAAACAAAAGCACAATACACTTTTACACAATACAATCTGTCTCATTTATCATCACATTATAATTGTAAGGTGCAAAGAATTTCGTAAAGTAATAGTATGAAAATACAATAATAACAATCTATCAACAAATAAAAAGTAATGAAGAAGGAAGTACAAACAAATGTAGTCACATGCTCTACAATTTCATGGAAAATAGATATCAAATCATCAGCATGAACAGTAATCTGTGTGTATGTTTTCTAAATGTCCCATCTAGGCAAAGGAACCGTGCATAGAAGTAGAACAAAAATTATAATTGATGAAATTTGTCTTTTGTGAATTAGATGGTTGTTGCTGAAACAACACTTCAAGCTGAATCTATCAAAACTCAACCATCAAATTTCATTATTTTTTCTTTCTAATTGTTATAGTTATTGAAATTTTAATAATTTTCATGACAATCTATTAAATAAGATATTTTACTTTCTATGGCACCTTTATTACTCATGTATCCCACCAGAATAGCATTTTTATAACTTTTCGAGATGCTAAAAATCTTATCAAAAGATACAACTACTAATTACAGTAATATGAATAATATGATGTCAAAATGTGCTCACACACTTTTTTCCCAGTCCAAGAACAACCGAAAGCAGCTTCATTATCCACAATAAAGGTAAAACAGGGCAGTCTTCCAACTTTGCCAAAAGCTGTTGGCTTCTACACTGGTTAAGCAAATGACAAGAAGTAGAAAAACATGACCAATTCATCCTTCAACAATTTTTACAGGAGACCTGCACAATGGAATAATGAGTTTAAGCCCAAGAGACGTTCAACTAAGGAAATCACTGTGGAAATACATGCCACTCAGCAAAGAGAGATGATGCTTCTCAGAACCCATTACATACCCAAATGGGCTTTGTTTGATGGCCAGTAGTTCAACGTCCAGCTGTCGATCCACCAAAAAAAGAGAAAAACGACAAAAAAAGGGGCAGAGAAAAAGATTACAATGTAATAAGATAAAATGTAAATGTGTAAAAGGGAAGTTACAGAAGTATAACAGAAGTTAAAAGAATATTAAATTCAAGTGAGTATAAAAATAATGAGAGACTAATTGCACAAATGCATGGGAATATTACTGATCTTATTATTACACGATAAAGACAAAGGAAAATGTCTGTGAAACTAAAGTGCTGCAAAGCATTTAAACAGTGTCAATTCAATATTAAGAAGATTCTGTCTGTTAAGTTTGGAAAGCTACTTTCGGACATGGAAACCTATTACAGAAAATTTGAGTTTCTGACATTAGTTTACTGTGACTGGGTTTACTTCTACTTAACCAGGCATGAGTGTTTTCCAATTCTTCATCCAGTCATTGTCAAAAGGGATACTTTGATATAATATTGAAGCTCAAAGCCATTCAGTTCTCGTCTCCTCTCTTCTTTTTTTTTTTGTACATTAGTACCCTAAGAATCTTATACATTTTCTTATTATTTCTGTACACATCTAAAGAATCTGATGCAGCTCTCTCTTTCTCTCTCTCTCTCTCTATAATAATATATAATCTATCTAACTCTAATTTATTATTCGAAGAACCAAATATTTTCAAATAGGTTTACCGGAAAGAATTAGACATTTGTGTTTAAGTTGACAGCATGGGATGGTCCGACTAGATTTAAGTGGAAATAGGGCTAGACCATCTAAAATCAGATGACTAATGCAGTGTAAAGAACTAAAAAATCAACCAGTCCATCCCAACCAGTTGGACTTACCAGGTTTGGAAAAATCGAAATGGAATTGGTCAAACAATAATATCATTTAGTGAAGGAAAGGCTACAAGACTAAATACGGAGCCTGTATATTCCATTTCTCACTAGAATTGACACTCACAAGCATCAAATCAGATGCAGATCTCATCTTTTAGAGTTTTGTACCTTCACTAATAATTTAAAAAATTAAAAATTCTGAATAAGATATAGCATATATCAAGAGCTGATAATCAAAAAATTTCTAGATTGAGATTCCAATTCAAACACTCGATAAATGAACAAAAAAATTTAGGCACTATGTCTTGAGCTGTGCCTTACTGATTTCACTATCTTAGGAAATAGACCACTTAATGTGTTTAGTGACGACATGATAGCTGGTCCATCCAATAAAAGACTGAAACCTAATTCAAAGTGGATTATACCCTTGTCCAATTAGATGAACATTCCAGAGAAAAAAGTTTTATATATTGATAAGTAAAGAAGGGAAGAGGATATGGAGAATCGAAAATACTGATTTATAAAAGTATAAAGCCTGAGGCTTGAGCAAGTCACAATTGATAATGTAAAATTCAGAATTTTGCAAAAAAATCATCAAAAATGAAAAATCAGCTCAATTAAGTTGAACTGGCTCTGAGAAGAAGTAGAGGGTGGCATGCTGGTTTTCAATTGGTTTGACAATATGAATAAATTTTTCTAGCTCCCCTAGCTCTTGATATGTGTGATTTACCAAAAACAGCCTCTGTAACCTAGCTTTGCAAGTCTGAAGCTGCAAAGGAATTCATTAGGTAAATCGACCAAATGTATTTTTAGCAGCAAATATGAGAGAAAAATCAAATCACTCCCTATACTTTTAAGGTGTTATGAGAGATCTATTAGAAGCAACTTTGTTAAAAACCACCATTGAGTATAGATTGTTGCTGATATTGGGAGCCTTCATAAAAAGCATCAGTAAAAATTGAAAGAATTATCCATAAAAACATAAAGTTGATCTGCCATAATCAGCTACATCGACTCCCTTTTTCACGGATGATGAATTTGTATCTTCATATTTCTTTACAGAACATTCTGGATCCATTCTATTTCCCAACAACATTTAAATTCACTATTTCCCTTTTCAAACCAAAACTGAAGTAAGGGAGAAAGGTGTATTACTTCAATTGTAGCATTTGGAGGGATTTCCTGTACCCCTTTGCTTCCATAAGCTAGCTCAGGAGGAACTATCAGCAGCCGCTGCAAGAAATTGATGAATTAAACAATTGATATAGTAAGTAAATTAGGCCCCTACTAGCAAATTTGTCCAAGTTTTAAACATTCATAAATAATGTGAATAATAAGTGCTCTTGGACTAAGCTCAATTTTCTGACATGATGACATCAAACTTCCACTTACTTGTGCCTTCTAAAACAGAAAATTGAATTTAAAGACTGAAAGAAATTGGTACATAAAATTTCACTTTATTTGATTAAATGAGATCAAAGTAAAATCATGTTACTTTTGAGACTAAAAGATTCTCTTCACTCAAGCTGTTTGGATGAGTATCAACTTTAGGATTGTTACAAAAGAACAGAAATGGTGAATGACATGATTAGCTCCTTCAAATATTTGAAATCAAGGTCATTCTACACAACAGGATTCTGCAGAAGAAACAAGGAAATATCATGCCAGTGACTGGTCTCACCTGACCTCCTACCCGCATCCCTTGAACACCAAGGTCTAATCCTTTAAGGACTGAGCCCCTCTCTGATTGACCAACATCAAATCCATAAGGCTGCAGCAACTCAAGCATATATAAATTAGTTATGGCTAAGAATTCTTCAAAAGATAAGTTACACAAGAAATTAAGATAGGTAACTATTCTTTAATGATAGCGCAATTGATTGGTGCAGTGGTAAAGCTCGGCAGTTAAACGTTAAGAATCAGCCACTTTGCAAAAGTAATATCAAAAGTGTCAAAACTAGAGAAAAATAGGGAGAAAAATCTTACCATTCTTTTATTCTTCTCACAAGGAGGTATATATACCATGCACATATTAAACATATAAGGTAAGTATTAAGTTTACCAAGTCAGCTCTAATCAACTACGATAATTATGCTGATAGATGAAAGGTAAATCCTAATCAATCACGTTAACAAAAAGTTAGGTGTGTACCCCGTTTGCCCCTCCCAAATTCACAATTAAAAAGACTACACTAGGTAATATATTCTTTTGTCACCTCTGCCCAGGTGGATATAAATGAAAACAATAGAATCAAAAGAAATAACTGCTATTTGTATAATAGACACCTCAAGAAAAGAGTAAAATAAAATAAATATATTTTAAAGACAACATAACAATAATCAAGAAGCTGAATAGAACACCGGTGCACACACTCTGACACTAGTATAAAAAAAAAAATGTGCACATAACTTAATTAGTTATCAGAATATTGGGGTTAAGCTGATTTGCTGGCCACCTGAAAGAGAAATGTGGACTGGAAAATGGAGTCTTTGCTAGATTTGTGGGTCTCCATCAAAGAAGAAAGTATTGTAGGGCATCGATGATGAAAACTGGTTTTGCTAAAGAAAAGAACATTTATAGTTTCCAAGTAATTAAACCAGCAACAGTTACCAAGGAGTGAAGAAGGCATTATTAACAAAATTAGAACAACATAAATTAAGAGAAGAAGCACACTTGATGTGGTTACTGTTTGTCTATAAACGATCAAATGAGATGAAAAAATTATAGTGTAGCTATAAATCCAATTGTACTTTATTGCATAGAATGTTTAAAAATTACATAGATTCATGAGAAACTAGATAATTGACCATTGGATTTTTGTTTTTTTTATTTTTATTGTTTTTCTCTCTGCTCTTTATTGGACTTCACTAATAGAGGATAAGATTGGAGTATGGAGTTTAAGATAATATGGTCACATACATTGGAAAAAGAATGTTTGTACCATTGAAAAAGAGTAAAGCATGAAGGTAACAAAGAAAATGTGCATCGCGATGTTGAGAATAGACATGGAGGCCAGTGATATCATTGGGATGTGGTCTTATATTAAGCTAAATGGGAAAAAGAATTCATGTAGCCAAACACAATTAGTAGGGGCATGAAGCACTCTTGAGATGAGTTGATTGTCTACAGAAAGAAAAATATATAAGAAAGGGAGTAACATCTGTTTTCGGTTTGAATACTAATTATTAAAGTTCCTCACCTTAGAGAAAGTCAAAAAGAGAGGACAACTGTAAGATAAGACATTCACTATGTGAAAAACAAGGGGACTCATTTTGTGACATTTTTATTCTTTGTAGCCCAGATAGGAAGATTTGTTTAATGATTCTTGATTGAAAGCAATAAGAATCAAACCCCTGACCCCATTGAATGCATTGCCAGCACCTTTATCGTTGCGCCACAACGGCTTTACTAGAAAGGTTCACACAATCTCTGGAACACCTTAGTTCCACCTCTCAATCTGCAATGTCTGGAACACCTTCTTTTTCCTTACCAATCTGTGATGTAATTCAAAATTGGACTGCAACCCCTAATTAGTTCCACTTGAAGCAGATAAGATGTGCAATGTCTCCACTGTCACCTGCTTTCAGCTTGTTGAAAGATGAGGGAGTGAAATTTTTCATAGGAAAACCATCTCATCTAATTCAATTACTAGAAGGATGAAGAATACAAATGTGTTTTGTCGCCTCAACAACAAACAGAACGCCGCCCTGTACAATTAGTAAAATGCTCTTCTAGATGAATCAATTTATTTGCTTTTTCATAGTACCGCCATGAAAGTTGAAATAGGGAAACCATTTCTTTCCGTATACATTGGGGCCTCTTACATTAGCCAGAATACACATGATATTAATACAGAAAATGAATTATAAGGGAAATGAATGATAAATGTACCATTGAATCTTACCGTTCCACCACCAACACCAAGCCCCTGTCTACTTGTCATAAAAGTGATGTTCTTCCATTTAGCAACATAATGAACCTACAACATGAATTTAACATCATTTAGTCCAGTTGCTTGAGAGAAAATAATCAGAAGAATCGTATATTCATTTTAAAATTCTAAAGAACAAACCCTAATGGAAAATTTGAAGAACCTTTGAAACACAAATACAATCTGCCAAGTTTTCTACTGGAGTGAACAAATTTACTGGCTGTCTTACACAGTTTCATACTTTATGCACTAAACAATTAACAATAATTCAATAAGCTTAACCATTCAAAAGAGATTTCAGCGTTGAAGATATTTTATTTGTTTAATTGTATCTGTTATAAATAAAAAAAATAAAAATAAATAATAAATAAAAAATAAAAAGTTTGTTTAATTGTATCTCATATCCGAGAATGAATGATACTTATTTGGGTTTATCCCCATCAAGAATCTTCTCTATCTCGGTTGGTTTTTTAATCTGAATTGTCCTGATTAAGAGGACTGCTCGACAATCTATAGAATTATAATCTGAGATTTATATTATTCCAATATGGAACACTTATATTATAATGGAATGTTTCTCAACATTCTGAAAATAAACTCAGCAATGAAGGTAATGCCTTACAGGACATACATTTACAAGTTAAAAAGAAAACAATAAACACTCTGCTCTAAATGGAAGGGTGTGAATGGGTGGCATAGGTATGTTTTATAAAATAATTTAAACCACGTAGGTAGACATTAGAAATTTAACTAGGCTACAACCATACTGCAACCCGAGATCCCTTCACAGCCTGAAGACCACTGCCAACCTTCAGATCATAGTACCTGAATGATGTTGCCATCAAAACTTTTGAGTAAATAAGAAAAGACATGCACAAAGTTTAAAAACTAGAAGCCAGAGACAATCAATGTGTTTACTTAACAGAGTAACACTAAGATTTAATCTGATTTCTTGAAGTGATGGAACAGTTCAATCAAAGTAATTATATTATTGAAAACAAATGTTAAATTCCACAGATTAAATTCTATTGATTTTCTTTCATGCACTAATGCCTTTTTGAAGCCATTGTTTATAGAGAATAAGAAAAGGCTAAATCACCCAAAAAAAAATTTATCTATAATATTGTAGAAGTTGTGGGAAAAATGCACTCAAACTGGTGAAGTTAGGTCAATTGTGTTGAGAGAGACAGAGATCTTGTGAGATGGAAAAGCAAAAGAAAAAAAAGAAAAAGAAAAAAGAAAAAAAAAAGGAAGACATGTCAGGATAGAAGATTATAGAGTTCCCATTCTACCCCCTACTGGCAGAAAGATAAAAAATGAACTTGGATCGGTTACATCCTCCCATTTCCAGAATCAGACAGCTTCTGCTAAAAAATAATCCCCAAAAATAAAAAACAATAAAACTAATATATTTTATATTAGAAAGATACTTCCTTTATGCTATCATGAGTCCAGATGCAGCATTAATGGAAGGCGAATTTACATGTAAAATACAAAGTTTATGGTACCATGAAAAGAAATTTAGGAAGATATGACGAACAAGATATATATTTCTATGTTTAATTGGAGTAACATGCAGATATTTCTGAAAGAAAGAATTTCGATAGGTTGTGATAGTTTACTAACTTTAGGCCATTGGGAAGGGTTGTATACTCGCTTTCAGGTATTTTTGCTCCTCTAAGCTGCAATAAACAAAATAAATTACTGTCTCTCCAATATATATTTAAGAAAGGAAAAAAAAAATCACTAGAATCAACAAATAATAATGAACATGTTAGAAGAATCTTACAGCTCTTCTACTCGTACTAGCAGCGCCAGCCACGTCACAGAGACAAATGCCAGTAGCTGACTCATAAAAGAAGTTAATTAGCCACTTAGCTAAACAATGATGCCTCCATTAACATGAAGAAGTATATAAATGAGTGAGACTGTGAAAGAAAACTGAGAAACAAGGCCACAAAAGAGCACAATAGATAACATTTTGGAAGTCACTAAGTGATAAGGTAGGGAAATGAATCAGCTGAGAATGGCAGTTCATATATGTGAGATTGGTGATGGTGCAAACGAAGAGCAAGCCATGTACCAGAGCACTAAATGGGGAAGGAAGGAAAAGAAGGAAATAAATAATAAGTTGATAATAGGGAAGTCAATGGTAACACAACTTGCCAATTAATTGACTTACCTTAAACACTAGTAAGCTTTAAGTTACCAATTGCCTCAAAAAAATTATGCAGTTAGAGAATGAGCCCAATACTGCGTATCAAATTCTAACACCTTTATTCAATTAGACGAACATACCAAACCAAAGTGCAAAATTGCACACCAAACCAGAGATCAAATGCAGAGATGGAGTTCTGAAGCAAAGAACCCCCATAATCAAAGCTATGATACCGTGTTAGACTACCAATTGCCCCCAAAGCTTAAACTGTTAGACAATAGGCCCAACGATGTATATTGAACTCTAACAAATTAGACCAGTTTGGAATCCACTATTTGATAATCATGATTATATCCGATTATGATCCACCATCGGGAGCATGACAGGTATTTGGTAGATAATATGTATATTCAACAATGACAAACTATTTTTTGTATTTGCAGGTTTTGGCGCAATAGTAAGGCTTTTTGATTGTGCCCTGGAGGTCACAAGTTCGATATCGTAGCCTCTCCATCAGAGGAAAAGTTGCGTACATTTGATTCTCCCTAGACCCCACAATGTGGGAACCTCATGCACCTGGCTAGCCCCTTTTTCTTGTCCTTGTTTTTTTATTATTTTTTTCCCGAATCTCCTTGTTTTATTTTGTTTACTCATAGTTTACTCATAATTCTTGATCTTTTGTTGCGAAAGGCAAAATCAATTGCTTTTCCTAATAATAGGAGTGAGCTATCTAATTCCAAAAAGCCTAATGCCCTTAAATTCCAACAAATAGGTGTTAGCCATATGGCCGTGTGATCTTTTTTAGCATTCATGTTATATAGGTGCTGACCAAAATGTTCAAATATACACGTTAATCAAATTGACTCTCTAGTCTCTATCTAGACTGAGAAATGGGAAAGCAATTCAGGGTTCTTGGATTGTGATATATTACAAACCGGCATTAGTACCGAAAATTGAGATCAACCCTGAACCTCTAAAGCAATATGACAACATACCCTAGTATTTACTAATCAAAATGTCTTAATCTGAAGGAAATATACTAGTCTCCCAAATAATATTGATCCTTGTAGCAATACAATCAACAAATTTGCAAGACCCATCTAATGAAGTCACAAGATTGACAAGAAAATGATAAGTGTGGAATCTAGAGAGAGAAAATGTGATGAGAGTAATGGACGAACCTGCTGCAAGAAAACAACCCATCAATCCCCTCCTTCCCTCATGCTGTAAAGATAGTGTTACTGGTTCTGCTGTCGCCTCTGAGGAACGTGACGAGCAGCGAAATGGCAACACAATACTCTTATTGGGAGGCCTCTTTCCTGTGGATTGAAATAATTCGGTAATATATACATATATAATGAAAATTTACAACAGTATATATTTAGAGAGAGAGAGAGATAGAGAGTTAACTTGTAAGTGTAATGGAGGGGAGAGAGTGGTTAAAGAATGCTGATTTGTGGTGCTGGTAAGGGAGAAGGGAAAGTTCCATGGAGTCGGTTGTAGCGTCAGTTAGGAAGAGGAATGAAGAAAACCAGTTGGTTGTGGTCTTGCTTTGGTGAGAGAGATAACATCTTAATTTCATCCACATTTGAAACCTTTATTTTATTTTATTTCTTTATTTTATTTTATTTCTTTTCCTTTTAAATTTTTATTATTTTTTAATTTTTAAGTTCAAGCAAACATTTTTTTTTTTTGTTGGGGGAGGGTTGGGATGGCAACCGCGCCCCCACAATCGTTTAAAAATCTCATTCCTGTCCTCGTCCAAAATCGCAAAAAGATGAATATTTTTCACTCCATTTCTGTAACTATTTAACATTTTTATCCCCGCGGGTACCCGCCCCACCCCATTTAAGACTATAATTTATTTATTGTTGAAATAGATTTGCCCTTTTGTTTTTTTTCCTCATCTTCAATTCGTCACCATTGCAAATTTTCTTTAATCAAATTCTTTTTTTACTTTAATATTGTTATATAGGGTACTTAATATATAGTATGAAATATATATACTAATGAAATAAGAGTATTTAAGTAATTTGCTTATCTAAACGGGGCGGGACGGGGCGACCTCCCCCACCACTGCACCAAACCCGCACGAATTTTTATTGCATCAAACCATTCATACCCAAATAAGCAAAACGATCTCCAAAATCGCCAAAAACGGTGTTGGTAACTGCGGGGAGAGCCAAATTGCCATCCCTAGGGAAGAGGGGTAAAAGGGTAACAAGAACACATAGTGGTAGCCAACTGATATATGCATCTGGTGGTCACCACCGCAAACAGTAGGCAAGTGATTGACAATTCTTGTAAAAACGGTGAAGTTTAGGGTTTGAGTTTATAATATGATATGTGAGTTTCTTGATAAGAAAAAATAATACTAATCGGTGAAATTTGATTTGTTGTGGATGTTGAGTCCCATAAAATGTTTATTGTGATTGATAATTTGCTACCCATTTGAGTCATAATTTGTTTGATACTTATTTAAGGTGGTGTGTTAAGGTAGGTGAATTTTTTTATATATACATATGGGCTTAAGAGATTACAACCCTTGCCATTTTCTTTGGTAGATTAGAAGTCACTATAACACAGCCTTTGTGACTACCTTCTAGGCGGGTATGTGTGTGAGGATTTGGATGGGGTAAATGTTATATGTAAATTTAATATCTTTTTACGACACAATGCGTTCTAAAGTTCTAAACTCACCAATTAAACGTACTTAACCTAGAGTAATACCAAGATGGGCGACCTCTTAGGAAATCTTTGGTTTGGGGAGCCAAAAGTGAACAATATTATATCTGGTTAGGGTGAGGGTCGTTACAACCTTGTGAGCAAGTGTGTGCGAACGTGTGCAGGTGGCACCAGTAGGCTACCACACTGAACGAGCTACATGTGAACAATCACATATCACTTGGGTGTGGAGGTGGCATGTGTTATATGTAGATTTAATACCCTTTTACAACACAACGTGTTTTAAAGCCATGATGACCGTGAACTCGCTAGAATTCTAAAGTTAAGCCTATTTAACCTAACGTACCAGGATGGGTTACCCACTAGGAAGTCTCTATCTTTGATCCGAAGTCAAAAACGGACAATATGGGATTCGATTACGGTGAGAATTGTTACAACATTTGGTTTATTAACATTTATTTTAATTAATGAAAATTTAAGTGATAATTTTTTCTTACCTAGTTCAACTTTAAATGTTTAGTTATTATTAATAAAGTCTCATTCACATAAAATTTATCAATTTCTAAACTAATTAATCACTTAACTTATTTAAAATTAGGCATTGAATTGGACAACTGAACACCATCTTATCTAATTGGTGTGGGTGAATGTAAATATGGTTTTGTGTAAACTAAAGTTTTCAATTCCCATTAGCAAGATTAACTTAGATGATACTTTTCAAAGGAAAAAGTATATATATATATATATTGAACAACATTTGTAATCGTTTGGATTACTTGGGTGATGCATTGTTTCAATGCAAATAATTTTTATTTATTATTATTAATAATGGTGGTGTCGAGTTCTTATAACATCCTATAATCTACCACATGAGCATACAATATCTAGTCCTACATACACATGAATTAGGTGCCTTGGATGAAAACATGGGGAAATTAGTTTTGACAATAAACTAGTTACTTTTCAGTTCTAAAACAAAATTTCATACTTCAAAAGTCACCATAATAATTTTTGAAAATCGTTAAAAAGTCCTTACGCTGTCAAAGCTAAAATAATGTAATAATTATAATGAGAGTTAGGATTTTAATAGGGGATATACATAGTAGTTTCAAACTCAAATGGTTTGGCAACTCATTTTCAATATTTAATTTATAAATTTAATGAATTACTCAAATTAAATGCATACAATTTGAATACTATTTAAAAGCACAATTTTCACTTAAAATTGGACAATATTTTGAGTGAAATAGATCTTCATTTATTAGACTTAGAAATGAACTTTTAAAATTTAAGTAACTATTGAGAAAGGATCTTGACATTGGGGGCCGAGAAAAATTGTGACACTCTCCTTATTGAATAGATTGATTATTGAGGAGCTTTTTGCAATATTAACTTTATTCTTCTAAAGAAATTCATAATTTACAAGTAAGACTTCAAATTTCATATTTTCAAACAACAAATTTTTTTTTTTAATTATTTTTTTGGCTCTTATAATAAAACCAATGTTTATTTTAATAAATAAAATAAAACCAATGCTTACATTTGTTTTGATCTAACTGACGGTTCACGAATCCTAATTCTTACACTAGCATATCAAATAATACCATATTATACTATATATATGTCTTTGTACTACACATAAAAGTGTAAGGTTTTTTTTTTTTTTTTTTAATATTATTTCTATGCATGTTTTTTTATAATTTTAATAAATTGTAAATTTTATTTTTATTTATTTTTAGTTCATTGATGCTGCTGTTCAAGATTAACAATTAAGCAAAGATATAGAATGGTTGTTTTATTTATGTGAAAGTCATTAGATACAAGTTATATGTGGCTTAAGTTTACTTGTTTAATTAATACACCCAACAATACGATGCTCACATTGAGTTGGTGAATTAAAAACAAATTCTGTTTGTTTAGAGCACGATTTTATTGGCCTTTGTTTTGTCTGATTAGATAGGAAGTAGTGGAAAGTGCAGGAATGGAAGTGAAATATTTTCTTTATGGAAAATTTATATTTTCCTATTGAGTGTTGCTGGCGAAAAATAAAAAACAAAAAACGATTTCATGATTTTCTATTGTAAAAGACAGGAAAATTTTGCTCTCCTGAAAAACTATACTTGGATTTACCATTCTACTAATTTTTATTATTTATGCATAGTAACTTAAGTGGATGGTACACTAATCTGCAATTCTGGTGTAAAGCACTTATTAATTATTATTTTATTTTCTAATTGTACTTTTCACGCCAACTAGCCGTTAGACTTAGCGTCATTTTTACTCGACAAAACACTTGAGCTCCCAGAAATCACAAAAGAGTCCCTATGTATTCCCCTCCAGAAACCCCACCCGTACATCCCAGATCTTTCTCCTCTCTCACTCACGCACTCCCTCACTCTCTCTCTCTCTCTCTCACTCTCACTCACACACACTCCGAATCCCTCATCGCCGGAGGTATGAGTTGCTATCATTTTTGTCCAAGCCGCCTCAATCTGCGTATTGTCGTCTCCACCGTTTATCTGGTGATGGTATTGTGTCCGGACGACACTCGGTTCATCGCCATTTCTCGTTTAACTAGTGGTTTTATTTATTTATTTATTTTTTTTATGATTAAATTGTCACTGTGATTTCCTATTTTATTTTTTTTCCTGAATTCTCAGTGAAAAGAGAGATTGGGTACGACTCCGACTGTTGTTCTTGTGGGTGGGGGATTCAGACGAGGGTTTCTTCGGAGGTTTGTGATTGATGCTCTGAAATAAATTATTTCCGGACGACATTGGGTTCATCGCCATTTCTTGTTTAACTTGTGTTTTATGTTTCTTTTTTCCATTAATTTTATGATTAAATCGTCACTGTGATTTCTTGTTCTTTTTCCTGAATTCTCTGTGAAAGCTGTTTGAGAGATTGGGTACGACACCAACTGTTATTCTTGTGACGAGCGTTTCTTTGAAGGTTTATGATCGATGCTCTGAAATAAATTATTTCCGCTTCTAGTTTTAGTATTTTATGTATAACGAATTTATGAGATTCACACGAATTTATGTCATGTTATGTAGCAAGACAACATGTCAAAGGCTCCGGAGAAACCCTCCTGCGTCTTGTTACATAACATGACATCATAATTAATTGTGTGGTTGTTAATCACAACTTCTATTTTGGATCTTGAACTTCATGATCATCACTAGTTAGTTAAACATTAATGTATATTTGACATGAATAATGTATAGTCATAAATACCTTGATCCATATGTGCGGAAATGTTGAAATATTTAATGAACAATAATCACCTCTTGGATTAATCAAGAAGATCTAGAAGATGGTTTCTCTCCCTTAATCCCTTCTACACACTTTACTCACTTATGTGTTATATCTATAATGTGTATAAATGATGGCAATTATACACTTGTATTGAATGGGCCAGAGAGAGGACCAACCTTCACTATTTATAGGCACAATTCCTTATTAACCATCAAGTAGAGGAATCTTGCCAAATCATGCTTTTAATTAAAATAGTAAGAAGATAATAAAGATGAAGAATAACTGAGATGTAAAGAGAAGAAACATAATAATGATGGATGAGTGGGAGATAAAGAGAATGGTATGGGTATATCATTATGAATGGTAGTGGAATACCATTAGTGGATGAGCCACTATTCAAAGAAAAAACTTACATTCTCCCACTTGGCTCATTCACTTATATTCTCGTAATTAGAATAGCATGATGCCTTCTCTTTATCCATTTTTGCTTAAATTATTAGCATAAATATCATTGGCAAGCAACTTACTAATGCGAGTCATGGCGGTTGTATACCAATATACGACATACTTCCTTCCATGCACTACAACATTAACAACTTACTTAATGTGATTGATAATTGAGAAGGTTACTTAA